CTCCAGTGCCTATGTGACCCATAATTGGAAGGAAACTGGTCATGATTCAATAGATGATGTAATGTATATCCAGTGTACAGACCATATGCTATCTTCAGGACACTTCCTCCAATTCAGGCAGCTCCACAGGTAGGAGGCCTGGTGCCAATGTAGGCGTTGTCATCTCCTCGTGGTTTAGCCCAGCTCAGGAGGAAATAAATGTTTACAGCTTAACTGAATCCTTTCAGCTTCCTTTAATATCCCAGTTTAAGACATACGGATTTGTGGCAGTGATGGGGGACTAGACATTGTGTTAACCACTAGATTATGCTAATAAATTCATGTTTTATATCTTCAAAAGAATTGATATTGATAAGCATATGTTTATGAGTTTCATACTTAGCAGAACCTTCCAGACATATACCTAATGTGCCAGTGCTTTGCAAAATCAGGGATCTAGCAGTTGACATAGGCATCGTAGAAACTGTAAATAGACTTGATTTAATTTTAAGTTAGGGAAAGAAAAGATACTAGAATGAGATGTAAAAAGTGTTCTGCTAAAACCTTTTACAGCCCATAGTATTCTGCTGTGCTGTGTGTGAAGTTCTTCAATCTGCCTAACAGTCATGAAGAGGAGTGGAGAGTGGCTGAGCAGGCTGGGAGAGAAAAAATCCTGAAGGGGAATGTGAAGCATGTTTTGCTTTAGTCTGAACCTGTACAATACTGTGAGTTTAACATGTTCAGTTATGTATACCGTAATTTAAACAACCAACAGACAGATCCTGCTAACCGAGGCACTGAACACCCTTGCTTTCAGCTGAAATTAGAGTGCATAATCAGTCAAACACTGATTCAAATGACAGGTTCAGTGAAAGGTACTTAAGGAAATTCCTAATCAGACCTGCCCATCAGAATTGAATTTTTCTGTTTCATTTGCATTAAAAAATAAACTGCAGCTTAGAAATAAGGGCTGCATATTGTCCTTTCAGCAGAGAGAGAGATGTGCTTGTTCCCTGCACGAGAGAAGTATAGTCTGACTCCTACCACGTTTTGTCCTTTTGCTAATTCAGCTTTCCTTGTGTGGAGCTTCAGAAACATGGTCTTGGTGGTTAGCCAAGATTTCTTTGTCTTTGAGATTCAATTTTAACTTCTTTTTTTTTTAATTCAGTTCTGCTTCATTTGGACTTAAGAGCAAACGATGAGCTCCCATTGGAGGGTATCACTGTCTGGAGCATATTCATGTCTGTGTTAGAGGGCTCAGAGTCTCACTGCTCAGCCTAGAGGAGTTTCTTGTGATAGATTCTCTCTGGTGATATTTATCAAGCAGGTCACATACAACAAATAAAGGGCAGCAATGTGTAAGATGGGCTGCTTCTGGCAGCTTCATATTATGATAGGCTATGAGCAGTTCCATTTTGCCACTGTTGCTTTAGCCTCTGAAGTCTATACTCCAAGAAACAATATAGGAATACCCTGTCTGAGCTTGTGCATATCGTGCAGCTTATCCATCTCTCTCTCACCATCTCATAAGAGGTATTTTGAGTAGCTGATACTAGTTAAGTGATACTTGATCCTCTGGCGATGGAAGAGATCTTATTTACTGGGTTCCTGTGCTCTGGCATGATGCTGACTGGAGTATAGCGTGATGTGGCCTGGAGTCCCTGTATGTTACCAGTGTCATTGTAGCTACACTGCCCATTGCAGGGTCAATGCCTACGTGACTAGCAGTCAGTGCTGTACACAGCACTTGAGGCCCAGTCATGCCCAGCAAATCTGTGTTTGCAACACAACTTACTGTAATGTCCTTTTCCCCAAGCCCTTCTCAAAATCTGGAGGGGCTCTTTTGTTGGCCGTTGCTTGCTTAAGTGCACGGTGCAAAATCATTTAAAAAAATGTAAATTGTTCTCTGCAGAGGCCTGATGCTTTCAAGGAGGCCTGTAGCTGACAAGCCAAACTCTCAAAGCATCCCTGGGGAGGAGTGCTGGCATTGCTCGTTCAGCCCTTCTGCATGCACCATGTGACTATTTTCACTCACGACAAATATTGCAGGCAACCTTGAGCATCCTTTGAAAATTTGTCGAGAGACATCCTATTTCTTTATGCTTGCACAGAGCTGCTCTGCTTCCAGTTCTGCAGTGTTATTGTAGTACTGGGCTGAAGGCAGCAAACATTTCTTTTACATATGACATCAGGAACGGTGTCTGTGCAAGATCTGGCACAGAAAGCCCTCTCCACTTGTAAAATATATCTTCGTCCTTTGCCTTTTGCTTTAGGTGTGCAGCTCTCCTGCACATAGGCCTCTCAGGTGCTGTATCTTCTGGCCAGCTCTGGTATAGAAGAGAAGGATGAGAGGGCACAGAAAATCAAAGACTGACTGAGAGTATATGGTGCTTCTGGGCTGTCTACTGCAGCTCAGGCTGACCATCAGTCCAGGAGAAAGAATAGCTGCGAGGCGTATGAGTTTGGTGCACTACAGCACAGATATCTCAAGAAAAAATCACTTTGAATGGAGGGGAATAGAGTAAGAAAGGCTGAAAGTGTGTTTTCACCAAAACCTAGGTGGTACTAAAACCTGCAAAACTGGCATCACACCCATAGAAGGTCATAAGTAGCCAAATTCTGCTCTCTGATACTTTGCTGTTATTGTAAAGTAACTCCTGGAGCAACCGAGACAAATTTCTTGGAGAGGATTTTAAAAGCTATCAGTAAAAATCCAATAAATCAAAGCATTAAGTACCTTTTCCTTCATATCTGCCCTTGCTGGCCTTACCTCTCAGCTTCCCCATACAAATCTGCCTGTCTAGTATCTTGTGGGGTCCCAGCCTGGGATTTCTGATGGCCATACTGCTTTTCCTGTTACTGAGAAAGGTATGTGGTTAGATCCATCTAAATGGTACGGTTCCTATATGGAAACACTCTCTTATTATATGGGCTTACATGAACTGGTTGTTAAAAGAAACATATTTGGCCCTAGAGCTGATGACTTTGACAAGAGGGAATCAAACTGCTTTTGCTATTTAATTTGCAGTCCCCTGGTATGTGTATTATTCCCAGTACAGTACAAATGAGTGCATCCAACTCAGTTATTTTTCTAAGCAAAATACTGTTTTTCTTCCCCCGGTTGAGGAAGACCCTGAACCACAAAATAGTGGGAGAGCATTTCCAAGGAAGTATCTGTATGTCCTTGTCCTCTTCTAGTTTTCACTGTGTATCCATCACTGGCCACTGTCAGGGACAAGGCACTGGGCTGGATAATCTTTGATCTGACCCGGGATCACCACTCTTTTTATATGCACAGGTGATAATTGAAGCATTTAGCAGGGTTCACAAATGCACGTGTGGGAGCTTTGGAAGGGACTGAAGAAGGACGTGTCAGAGGCTGGATCCCTACACCTTCTCTGCAAAGTCAAGGGTGTCTGAAGGGCTGGTCTCCCCTGGGGTTCCAGCCTGCAGGAGTTCAGGGCGACCAGGTTCCTACCTTAAACACTTTTGATACTTTTGTTGCTTAAAATTAGGTAAGGCAAAGACTGCTTTAGCCCTTGATTGTCTTTCCTGAATTGCCGTAGGTCATGCTGAGGACTAGCCCTGGCAACAGGAACTGGGTTGAAAGGGTTGCACAAAGTTACCTTTGGCCCTTCTTCCCATGCAGCACCAATTACAGCTGAGACAAAGTCCAGAAACAGTCCGTTTGCTGCTTCGCACATCTGGGCTGCTGGCACACTAGAATATTTAGCATACACTGATTTAACTGCTGGAAAATTTATTCACACAAAAATCTTGCCATTCTCTTAGACAAAGGATTTTTTTTCTACATTTTGTTGTCAAAATCCTTTTCCCGTCTGCTATGGGGGCAAACCAACCTCCTAACCAGGACGTTTCATTCATGGATAAAGCTTTTATTGGAACTTACTGTAACAAGCTAAGGGTTGGGGGCAGATTTTTCTCCCAGTGAAATCAGCAACAAAACTCCCATTGATCTCCCTGTGGGCTGAGTTGAGCCTCTCCTGACAATGGGGAGATTTTTAGAGGAGTTATGATGGCCGTGGACAAGGTCTTGTTGCTTTGCCCTTTCAAAAGAGAACTGTTTCTGGTGGAGGAACAATCAGAATATTTGTCTCTTTAAATGAATGGTTCTTAGAGCCTGCACTGAGAGGCAGTCTCCCTCTCTGCGGCTGTGAGGCTACTCAGAGCCTCCAATAAATCAGCATGCAGGAACTGAGAGCTCTGTCCTTGAAGAGATGCACAGTGACCTTGCTTATGCTTACTCTGGAGGAATAACCAGGGGAAATATAGGAGCCCAAATAGTGAGTGGTCTATGACTAAAGGCACTGCATTCTGCATGCAAATGCTACGGTACCGAAGGCACGGTACGGACGGCACGCTGCTACACAAAATGCAGCTTTCCTGCTAGTCTGACCAGATTGCTGCTGTTGTTTTTTGCAGGGGACTGAATGAAATCCTCATGATTGTTACATGCTTGTTCAATAATAGCACACCCCAGTCACGTCTCCTTGCAAGCACATTTCGTTGGAATCACTGAGCAGAAGCAAAGAAGAGCTGACGACTATGTGTTTCCAACGCGGGTTGCCGGAGCCCTGTGTTTGCCATTGGCTGCAGTTTTCTGGTTTATTTGCAGCTTCCCCCATCTGGAATATGAAAATGGGATTGAAGTAGATAATTGCTAGCAGCGGGTTTTCAAGAGAGGCTTAGAGGGAACAGAATGCTTCTTGCACAGCACAGGCTGCCTGCGCTGAAAGAGCTCTGAGAGATGATTTTAGATGTTACCCACGTCTGAATCTCCTGGAAACTTTACCGTGGAAGCAAGCCATTGCACACAATCCTGGAGCTAACATCCAAAAGGGGCAAGGAAGGGGCAGCAGGGCCAAACAATGGAATACCTTGTCCTTGGATTGCTCAGAGAAAAGCCAGCGAGCGTTCCCCTCCGCTTCCCAGCAAAAAGGGCATGAAGGTGACAATGAACTGAATTTTACCCAGCAGAGCTTCAGTGGCTTTTCGTAAGGATGGGATACACTGACCCTTCGTCAAGCAGGGATTTGCTGGGAAACAGAACTTTGTTCTTCATATTCATTTGCGCCTTTGCCGTGGTCACCTTGCTGCAGCAGATCCTCTATGGGAGAAACTATCTCAAAAGGTAAGGGGGGATTTGAGGGAACAGGAAAAGTTGTCTGATGGGGCTGAATGGAGACAGAGATCCAGCCATACCATTATACCGGTTCAAACCACTTCTTGGTGGTGTGCTGACAATATTAATCTCTTGTCAATCTGGGAAGATGCATCCGGCATCTGTAATGTCTGTTAGATTATTAATAAAGGAGAATGTTAGGCAGAATATAACGATTTGTGTGTTTCTTAGATTGTGTTTTAGTCCTCAGCTGTTGTAAAAATCTAGGTCTTACTTAACTTAAGCTAGACTGACTTGTACCATCTGAGCATTTGCCCCGATCAGACCCTGCCAGATAGGCTTTTCACCCTATGTAAGTTCCAGCTGAAATAGCTTGAGAGGTTGAATTAAGGTAGCATGCTCGTTGCCTAAACTTTAATGTCTTTAGAAACAAACATGCAGATGCAATTCCTAAAATCAAAGTGGCTATATTAGTGTTCCAAATAACAGAGAGAGCACTTTATTTTTTCACTGCTGTATTCTCATGAATTACTGCTGAGACTGCTTTGTTGTAGAGCACATCAGTCCTTGATCTGAAAATGGTACTTCTCTTTTTTACAGCAAACACCAGTGGGGATCTTCAAGTGTTTAACCTTGACCCATGCAGAGTTTATTTTGCTTAAATCTAGTTTGAGGTGTTACAGCTTGTATGATTTTATAAAGGGGAATATTTCTCTTACATGCTTTGAGGTAAGCGGGTTTCAGTAGTGTAGGCAGCTGCTGTGGAATTTTTTATTGGAATTTAGCTGCATTTTGCCAGAAGAGATCAATGGTTTGGTTCTTTCCTGGTTTGCAACTCATGTGGTTGTTTGCCTTGTGCCAAGAGCAAGCAAAATGTTGACAAATCAGCAAATGTTTCTTGCTGGGGGGGAACAGCAAGCATAATATTAATACGTATAGACAGGAGTGTTGTAGTTTATCCACAGAGCAATTTGTGTGCCTTGCTTAGCAGTGAGGCCTTGGCTGGGGGACTCTGTCTGGTTTCGGGCACCTCACTTTCAGCAAGATGTGACTCAGTTGGAAGGAGCCAAAGGAAAGCAGCAAGAATAAGCAGAGGTGTAGAACACCTGTGTTTGGCTTGGAGAAAATTGAGGGGAGATATGACAACTGTCTTGACACACCCAGACTATTTCTGCCAAGAGGAAGGTAATAAACACATCCCTGTGAAGACTCACGAGGTGACAAGAAGTCATGGGCTTAAGTTGCAGCAGGAAAAACTTGGCTTTAACCGTGAAGGGAAACTTTTAAAGAATAAGGCTACCTGAGGAGGTATAAAATCTCCATCTTTGGGGGCTTCAGGAACCTGTTGGGTAGACAAGGGTAGTACCGAGCTGCCTTGGTGTTGAGAGGATGACTTTATGACCAGTTCAGGTCTCATCTTGCCTTATTTTCTCAGTTTCTCCTATTTGTGCTAGAGGCCTTGCAGCCCTACCAATACTTGCTTTTCTAACTTGAAATGACTGCAACAGGATTACAGCAATGAAAAGTAAATCCAAAGTATAGATTGAAATGAAAAATAGCAAAGTAAAGATAAAATGGTGAGAAGATGCAACTAAAACTCTTCCACTGAGTGATGTCTGTGGCCAGTCTCTGTCCTGCCTCGTGCCCAGGGAGCCTCTCCTGTCATCAGCGGGCTGCAGGGAATGCAAAAAAGGGTGATGTCCAATTCCCAGGCTTGCTAGGAGAAAGTCTGATTCTGAGCACTCTGCCATCAAAGGGGCTCAAGCAGGGAGATGTGCGTACGTTTTGACACTTTGACTAGAAAATACTGTTTATTTAATTTTTTTATTCCAGCTTGTAATGATTTGTTTCTTTTCCTTTTTTTTTTATCACATGAAAGAGTCTCAAAGAGGGTTCCCCCCGACTCAGTGCAGAGAAAAAGCACTTTGACTCCTTTCTGCTGGGAAGTGGTAGTTCCCATCTTTCATGGAAATAAAAAAGCAGGATGTGGCAGTCTCAGGCTGTCAGTTATTAATGATAGAAAGGTGATTTAGCCTACATCGTTACCATAATATTATCATGAAGGTACTTTTTCACTTTTTCTTTCCCTCTCTCACTCTCATGCCCTGTAGTATGTTATGGTGACCATTCCCGGGCAGTTTGATTGCCAGTCCGCTCCGTGCAGGGGTAGCTGTAACCTTTAATTAGTCTTTTCTTTCACAAACCTCCGGTGTTAAGTCCCCTGTTAGAAGCTGATGCCGGCTGTGAGGTTCCTTGGACACGTTACAGCTTGCACCTCCAGGGACCACGGTGGAGCTGGTGGTTTTGGAGAACATCCTTGCAGAGGGGAAGTGGGATATTTATAGCTTTGGTGCCGCTTGCCAAGCTGGAGCCTGGGGACGCTGCCTAAACCTAAAGCCATTTACTCACTAGGATTCAACATACTGCTTGTTTTATGATAGCCTTTGCTTGCATCCCAACATCTGCAACAGTAACAGGCCTCTGGGCCTCTTCCCAAGGCAGTGGGAAAAAATTCCCTAGTGTATTTAGAGAAACCTGAAAATTGCCCTAAAGTACTATTCCAGTAAATGTACAATGCTTTTAAGCCTAAATATAACACAGGGCTAGCGTTTGTCTCTGCAAGAAGATGGTGGAAATGGGTAAAGGCCAGCAAGGCAGGGGGAATCTGACCTAAAACAAGCAGCTTGGGCACAACGCAGGGGACAGCATAGACTAGAGACTGGTCCAAATAAGTGGTGTGGACAAAGGCACCCTTTTCTGGGAGAAAGATGGGAAAGTTAGCTCTATGGCTGTAAGCTGTGCCATGCCACTTGCCCTTACAAGCAGGGAATGGGCTGGTTTTATTGCCATAAAAACCCGCCTGAAGCTCTCCATGGAGGGTGCCATGGAGGCTCGTGGTCCTGCGTTTGCTCACGGCCATGCTCCCAAAGCCTGGCTGTGGGGATGGCAGGACTGCAGGTGGGAGAGCATGCTCCAGGAAATAAACTCTGCTCGGTGAAATTTGATAAGGGGCCCAGCCTCTGGTCAAGTCCTCTCTTTCCCCTTAATGAGATATTAATGAGTTCCTGGCATTGCTGGAAGAAGGGGAGAATATAGAGATTGAATTTCTAGGTATTCACACAATTTTCACCCACCATATAATGTTCTCTGCTCCTTCCCCTGTTGTTTTGTACCGTGTCACTGGAAAGCAGAATCCTGCCCACCTTTTTTTTCCCTTTTTCAGTTTTCCCCCAAGTGGGATGGATGTGGGTGCTCTCAGCAAGGCCAGTGCCTCATCCCCGTAGTAGCAGCTAAAGTCCTAACGAGAGAGTTAAACTGCAAGCTGGAAAATGACATCGGGAAACTCTGGTCTCTGTAGCTTCTGATCCTGAGTAAAAAGGATGATGAAATGAGATATAATTAAGGGACTTTAATACGGATCTCTGGGGTGATTATTTTTATTTTAGGATTAATGTGATGATTAAAAATCCACTGCATTGATCTGCTAAAGTAGGTTAAACGCTGTGGACTTCTGCTTAAATCCAGAGCTGCTGCTTGCTTTTGTATTGACTCATCTTTCCAATGTTCGGCTTTCAGCTGAATTTTCTTTTGAATCAGATGCTCAGCTGAGGGCTGGCCTTTTTTTGTGAGCTTTTGTTTGGCCAGCAGGGAATAATCCTGGATTACATCAGGAAACTGCCAGTACAGTAAAAAATGTTGAAACGGTCCCTGTCTTCATCTCCCAACCTGTAGCATGGGAGAGATCAATAGGACGGTCCTTGCCTGCTTTGGCAAGGGAAAAATATCAGAGCAATACTTTGCTATATACCAATATTCTATTGACAGGGAATTCACTAAATACTGTTCTTTTAACAGCCTGATTTCTGCACAGGGTGAGAGTCAGCTGAAGAAGGGAATCTGCTCCTTTAAAACTTTTGTTTTTTTCAGCCGAGTGAGGAGAACACATTTTCAAAGCTATTAAAGGCTTTAAACAAAGATTACCCTGGGGTCTGTCAGAGCGGGCACTACAATAACTCAGAGAATCACACAGCAGGAAACAGCAAACCTTCCCATGCAGGCAGCCTGCATTATTTGAAAGCTTTACATCTTTTAAATGAGAATAAAACATCACTCCTATGTGTGTGTACCCTATAATTAATATCAGACTTGAGGTTATACCACCATTTTGGTATTTCTGAAGCAGCTTTTATCCAACAGTTGCAAATCAATCCCCAGACATCTTTACCCCTTTCCTTACCCGCATAAGAAAGATAGCTTATGATCATTTTTTGCACAGCATGGGCAAACAAGGAATAAACTCACAGAGAATAAACCTAGACTACACCTTGAGAGATCTTTTAGTCTGTACCGTGCTATAAAACAAGATCATATCTTACTTATACCAGCGACAGCAGTAGTTGTGATGTGGGTATAGAGGCTGCATGTGGCCTGAGTTGTATTTTGTCCCAGGCTGGGCTCTTGAGGAACTACAGCCAACTCATGTCAGTTGAGAGCTCCTGCCCCATACCTGGCATGTGCTCCTCTGGCCTGTTCATAACACCCTGTGAAGATGTTAACCGTAACCTAAGACCATCTATTCCAGTGTTAAAAGTCTCTTTCCATTTAAATATTTTTCCCAAGAGACGTAAGCTGAAGGTCACCTAGTGAGTCATCTCTCAACACACAGCTCTGTGCCCCCTCCATTTCTAACCAGAGTGAAATATTATCCCAGCGAAATGACATGCGACCCGTGAGTCACCTTGCTGAATCCCTGATGGGGCTGCAGAGCAGGTCTTGGTTTCGGTCGGTTTTCTTCAGAGCAGAAGAGCACTGGAAACTTCAGGAGACAGCAAAGTCTTGAAGCTATATACACCAATATGTGTATGTATGGGATATGGCCATCACCTTAAAGTGACCAGATCTAGTCTAGCATAATAGGAGAAGCTGAGAATCCAGCCATGCTGTTCTTGCTACAGGGTATTCCCAAGTGCATTTCAAGGGGATGGGAACTGGGGAGCTGGCATCCCCAT